GTCTGATGGCCATGTATAGCAAACTTTTAGACTTACGGGAAAGCGGCGCCGAACGTCACACGTACACGTTTAAAACGTGCGCCTCAACCTCTCTATTTTGACAGTAAGCACAGATGATTAAAAAAAACTAAATTTTTTTTATATTAGTGTTAGTGTAACATTTAATCTTTGGCACTTTATATGTTTATTAAAGAGCTGATAAGAGATAAGTGCCTAGAGGCTATAAAAGTCTTCTCTTTATGCCTCTGAAGTTTTAATATTCATTGCTATTTTTAAACTGAATGGTGGTTTAGATTTTAAAAAATACAAACATTTGCAATGAATTGTTTTAACTTTACACAATTGTTTCTTGAATTATTAAAAGTTACTGAAAGTTGGTCATTTCAGAACTATTCTTGACTATATAGATCTATATTATCTAGGCAAATGATCCACTTCACCTAGATAATATGGATCTGGTCATATTGATAAACCTGAAGGATTAATCAATATTCTGATACTATTTTAAATAAATATATATATATATAAATTTATAACTTCTAAATACGTAAGACATTAATTTTATGAAAAATCTATATATACATCGTCTTGTTTTTTTTGGAAATTACACTAATAATACTGAAATAAGTTTGTTAAATATTTAAATTTACAGTTGTCAAAAAATCTTGATTGAAAAATGTTTTAAAAATGCTGACATAAATTAAAATACATACATACTAGACATAATTTCATGCTACATTTACGAGTTTGATAAAAAGTGAAAAAGAAATCGATACTTTGGGTGTGGTCATTATTATGTTACAAAGATGTTGCTGACTTTTGAGATGTGGAAACTGACCAGAGGTTTATTAAGAAAGGTCACAGTGGTCCTCAATGGAAGGCTAAGTTCAAGGTGATTTTTGAGAATTTGTTTCCAATACACTCGCATTCTTTCGTATCCTGCCTTACGCGAACGACCCTTTAATGTTGCCATATAAAGCGAAACACTTTCGGTTTAATTAATTTCTTTTTAATATGAAAATTATAATATATCTAAGATTTGAATTCTTCCATAAACTTTCGTTTGCTTTTTAATTTTATTAACGTTGTTAACTACAATACTTGACACTAGCTCATTAACCGTAACGAAATTTGCTGCCGATAAAAATTCGATTACATTTTATTTATATATAAGGAGCTAATTTCTGGTAAGTTTTTGAAATTAAGTGGTATAATTGCGAAGATGTTCGCTAATGAAAATATCTTATCATCAGTAGTGTAATTGTTAGAATGCGCGCGCCGATTGGGTGCATGTGCGGCACATGGTCTCCCTTGGTAACGTGGGAATCGGATATATACAATAGTTTCGACACGGTGAATATTCGTAACTTACCATGGATGTCAGAAGCGAAATCATGGAAACAACTTTAGAATTATATTCCGATAACGAAGATAAAGGGATCGAGTCTGATTGTGAAACTAGGGTGCAAGTAGAAGTGGAAAGAGAAGAACCAGATGAAGAAATTGTGAAAGATGAAACAGGAGAAAACGAGGCAATTGAAAATGATGAAGAAATTGTGAAAAATGAAATAGAAAACGAGGCAATTGAAGAAGAAGAAGAGGAGGAGGAGGAAGAAGAAGGCGAAGATGACGAAGGGTAAAGAGTATTTTCATTCAGAAAATTTTAACATAGATCTGCTTAAGCCGTTTCTATTTACTTCTGCGGTATTTTATAAATATAAAATAGTATAGAAATGTAAAATCGGTAGAGATGGATTTTATAAATTATAAATGCTAATAACAAGTAACATCACTCAATAACAAATAACACCAGTCAATAACAAATAACATCAGTCTGATGCTACTCCAAATATGACAACCCTATCATCTCCCCCACCCCCTTGAACTCTAACCACCAGAATAATTCAAAAAATTCTTTGTAGACTAGTTGTTGCAGTAAAGCATTAAGATAAAAAGTGTTGAAAGTATTTTGGATCAAAATTACTATAGCTAAATATTTTAATATATAATTTAGCAATGTGAAAAAACTTTTCAATATTCAGGGTATTTCTCATTTGATTCAAAGTGTAGATTTGAGAAGTATAAGTTGCACTCTACATGGAGTGCAACTTATACTTCTCAAATTTATCAAGGTCAAGTAATTTCAGAAAATTGTATTCAGTATAAAGCTAGGCTAACTACATCAGAAAAATACTAATGATTGATTTATTATTATTTATTTCTGTATACCAAGAGGTATACAGAAAGTATTACTAAAACTAGTAAAAATACTAAACCCTAAATAAAACTGAAATAACATGCTAAATAATGTCTAATAATAACATATTTTCTTCATTTATTTAACTTATAAAAAAAATATACTAAACAAAACCGCACTTACCTTCTTAAATTTTCGTATCTTGGCTAAGTGTAAAAAGACGGAAAGTAATAATTGGTAACACTGCAGCTTTCGTCCGGAGGACTGAAGCATTATCAAATAAACACCAAAAACTATCACAAGGATGCAATTATACGAATCGTCCACTCTTTACCAATGTTTTTTGGCTCTGAAAAGAGCCGTTTGTTAGAATTCTGCAAAAAAATTGTTTTATTTTTTCCCCTTTTTAGCAGCAGCCTTTTTCGTCGGTGTCTTGGCAGCCTTCTTAGGTTTGGGCTTAGCAACAGGTTTGCTTTTTGGCTTCTTGGTGGCGGATTTGACGGGCTTAGTTTTCTTTTCGGCTTTAGTTGCTTTTGGTTTCGGTTTTTTAGCGACTGTGGTGGCTTTCTTTTTGGGAACTTTAACTGCTGGGGCGGCCTTCTTTACTACCTTGGCCTTAGCTGGTTTATCGGCTTTGCTGGATCCTGTATTGAGTTTGAAAGAACCCGAAGCACCTTTACCTTTGGTCTGCAATAAAGAACCATTTGCAACTGCTGTCTTAAGATACTTCTTAACAAATGGAGATAGGCGAGTCATATCGACTTTATAATTGGCAGCGATGTACTTCTTGATAGCAGGAAGGGATGAACCACGTCGTTCTTTCAAATTACTAATGGCAGCTTCTACCATTACGGATACTTTAGGATGTGAAGAAGCAGTCTTCGGCTTTTTAGCACGAGCGGCAGTCTTCACAGTCTTCTTAGGAGACTTGGTAACTTTAGGTGATTCGCTTGCTTCTGCTGTATCAGTCATAGCTACAGGTTGGTGAAAACAAATGTAAACTAACAACTTGCCATGCGGGATTTATATATTAGTGAGGCGGACCTCGCGGAAAACTAGCATCGCCCTCTACTGTGCACCGCTGGACATCTCTATATCATAAGTCTGGAGGCTGTGTTTGTTTACAAATTTCAAAATTTTTTTTAAAATAAAAGATATATTTTAATATCTATATTTCTGTATTATTGGTACAGAATACACTTCATATTCTTAACTTATAAACTTAGTTAGAGCAATGGTTCATTTGCTTTTTTAGTACAAAATTTCAAAATGGCCACTTCTGTCCGTTATTTTCATCTGTTTATGTTTAGATGAAGATAAAATATCATTAATTATTGAAATTTGTGTTTATTTTTACATAAACAAGTACCTTACAATGTTTTCTTTATTACAATAGCAAAGATTTCATTACATATAATTTGATTTTTCTATAATTCAATGGAATCGCTAACATTGAAGCACAGTTCGTTAACTCTCATTACATGTTTAAGAAACGCTCTCGTTTCTATTATTTTTTTAAATAATTATTTTACGTGTTTCAATGTAATAATTACAAATAAATGAGTAAACGGCGTAAGACGTTAAAATACCCTTGTAAATTAATTTTATCATTCATTTGTATAGATGCTGTATTTGAGCGATTTTTGCCATCATTAACGGAAAAGCTTTTTATATGTTATATATACAATATACAATAAACATTTTGTATAAGTAAAATATATTTATGGTGCGGATTTTTTACTCTTTTTAAAACAATTTTTTAAAAAGCTTTTAAAATATATTAAAACTTTAAAGGTTNAAACTGGTTTACAAAATTTCGTTCTGGCAATTTCAATATTGAAGATGCACCATGTTCTGGATGGCCAGTTGAAGCCAATGAAAACAAAATAAAGGTACTGGTTGAAGCAAACTGCCAAATAACAACACATGAAATCACTAAGAGATTAAATTGGTCAAATTGAACTGTTTATGATTACTTGAAACAAATTGGTTTCGTTTCGAAGCTCGATATATGGGTTCCACATGTTCTTAAAGTGAGATGCTCTCTTTGGTGGGATTTTAAGAAATTTTTTTTTTTGGAGCTTTTACCAAACAATTTAACAATTGATTCGAAAGTGCACTGCCATCGAGTAAACAAATTGAGTAATATCATCAAATAGAAAAGGCAGCCAGAATTGATCAACGAAACAGGTGTAGTGTTTTCACACAAGTTTGGTATATTGTCAGAAACTGTTATAACTTAGATGGGACTTGCTATCACACCAACCATATTTGCCAGATCGAGCACACTCAGATTATTACTTGTTCTGGTCTATACAAATTTTTTTTAACTGTAAGACATTTACTTGAAATGACAATGTCAAAATCACTTGGATCAGTTTTTTGTAAGCAACGATCAAAACTTTTATGAATATGAAATCATGCTACTACCAGAAATGATGACAACAGGTATTTGACCAAAATGGTCAATATATAATTGAATAAAATATTTATTGGTCTTCTGCCTCTTCAACTATCACCCAGACTACAGAAAATTTATTGGGTTGTTCGGAAAGTAATTTTGTTTTTTTTCCATGGAAAAAAAAAACAAAATTACCACAAGGTAACTGACAAGGGGCACCATTGGCCCTGTCCCCTCAATGCCCTCCTTGAAGATGGGGACACCTATCGGACTTTTGTGCAGTACATTAACAACCTGAGGTTAGCAAACTACCATACTCCAATCAACAGACAGAATACCTCACCAATATCACCCGCGTCCAGTAATTTTGACTCACCGGATCGCATCTGAATTCTCTCCACATCATCATTCCAAACGCTCTACCTAGTCTTCTCCGTGCCAATCCTGGCTCTCCATTCTCAGCATACAGGTTTTCTGCTTTGTCTTGCATGTAAGCCTCATAAGGCACCACCAATCTCATCTGTCCATTCAAATTGTATATCATCTGCCTTGTTAACTGTATATTATTTTAAGCTGTTCAATAATCAATTCCCGGCAGGCACCCATGGATCCCTCCTTTCTCTTCTATCTCTTTTCCCCTCTCCTTTCCCCACCCCTACATACTTACCCCTTCTCTTTCCTCTCTTCCTTACCTCACCCCTTTCTCCCTATCCTATTCCTTCCTTGGCTATACCTTCGAGTTTGGCCAATTACTTTAAATCTTGTCTTATGTCCTTTAATAATGAAGGCTTGTTTGACACCCTAGGATTTGTTTGCTATCCCGTCCAGTCAAGATTCACCCAGGTACAACTGGTCATCTCTGCAAGTTGTGCTGTGCACCCCGGGATGTCGCTCTCATCACCTTTGCCAGAAGAAACGATCACCAGAACATTTGGACTTTTTCCCACCTTTGGATAGGCATTACATAAGCCTCATAAGAATAGTTGTAAGGAAATTTATATATCTATTAATAATTAATTAATTAATTAAATAGTTTTAAATGGTAAACCTATCTCCGTGAGTCTTCCACACCCACATGACTATTTTGACCGCGACTATCGTGACACTTTCCATCCAATCGGCTAACCTTACATAGGCTATATCATGCCACTCTCAATAGACATCTCTTGACAGAACAGTTGCAAGAAAGAGTACAACTACATAGCACACAGCAGCACTATGCCTGTGCCAGTTATAGATGTTATGTCTTTAAGCCAACAACCACCACACTAGTAATTCAGTACACAGGGGAAGAAATATATACAATGGTTTGCATATAATTTTGTACATATTCATTTCAACTTGCACAACCCAGAGAAATATTAATTAATCCCAGAGCCCAGAGATAACTCACTAAATCCTGGATTCTCCGGGTCAAACCCAGATAGGTGGAACCCTACACACTATATATTAATATTATATTACTAGCAGACCCCGCCACGCCTTGTTGTGGCTCAAAATGTATCTATTATAAATGTATAACACTTCCCCCGCAGGGAAAAATTTTTCAAAAAAATTTTTTTTAGTGTACATTCTCTTGACATAACCTATTAAAATGCAATCAAAAACGCAAAAACCTGCATCTAAAATAGTATAATAGAAGCCAAGTTTTTCACAGTAAGCCTTAATCCTGTCTCTCTCCCCCGCGAGGGGAATATCGAAAAATCCCTTCTTAGTGTACATTCTGTTGATGTACCCTATTGAAACACAATCAAAAACGCAAAAACCCGCATCAAAAATAGTATAATAGAAGCCAAGTTCTTCACAGTAAGCCTTAATCCTGTCCCTCTCCCCTGCGGGGGAAATATCGAAAAATCCCTTCTTAGTGTACATTCTGTTTACGTACTCTATTAAAACTCAATCAAAAACAGAAAAAACCGCATCTAAAATAGTATAAATAGAAGCAGAGTTCTTTACGGTCGGTAAGCCTTCCCCGTAAGGCTTACCATAAAGAATTGTCCATCCCCCATGTTTAACGGAATAATATACAGCCTATGTCCACCCTGAAGTTCCATTCTAAATATTGGTGAAAGAATTTTTTGAAATCGGATGAGTACTTTCGAAGATTACCTGCTGCAAACAAACTTACATACATACATACATACATACATACATACATACAAACATTATCTCTTTATAATATTAGTATAGATTGATGTAATTTAATATGTGATAAATTACCAGTACCAATTAAATGATAGTCTATTTTAGTTACCTAAAATAGCAATTTAATCCTGGAAATTCATAAACATGGTGCCAAGCTTTATGCATTTTTGTGATGTATTATCCATCTATTTAATAAGTTATAGGTGCAAATCCTTCAAAAGTACCGGAGAATTTGAGAAATGCCTTTACGGTCTCAAATTTGCTGATGGGAAAACCCCTACCTATACCTCCTAGTGTGGGACATAATGCGTCCGGTGAAGGATGGGCAACGTTGGTAAGACAGCTAACATAGGAGGGGACCGAGCAGGAGTCGGGATAAACTTCTAACTTCATTCTTGTGATGAAGAAGGGCAATCTCTTGTCTAGGAGTAAGAAATTGCTCCTTAAGGCGGATGAACTATTTACTTAGTCAACAGCATGGGAATGTGGAAGGCAATGGAAAACCACCACATTATTTTCTTCCTAGTTATAGTATTATGACATACAATCCAGGAATGGCCAATCAGTCCCCGGCAGACCTTCAATGGTCAGAGGGTGCTAAGAATCTCCGGACAAAACAAAAAATTAGCTACATGGAATGTTAGAAGTATGTTTGAAAGTGGAAAATTAGATAATACGGTGAAGGAAATGGAAAGATTAAAGATTGATATATTGGGTATAAGTGAAGTTAGATGGCCTGGTACGGGAGTTTGCAAAACACAGAATGGAATTTTTTATTATTCAGGAAATAATTCGATAAATCATAACCACGGAGTAGGTGTTATATGCAACGAAAATACAAGCAAGGCAGTTTTATTCTTCTTACCATATTCTGATCGAATAATTTTAGTAAAAATAAAAACAAATCTAGGAATCTTAAATATAGTTCAAGTATATGCACCAACTGCAGAAAAAGATGACAGTATTATAGAGGACTTTTATCAACATATAAGTGATGTTTTANAATATAAATTTCTTCTTTATTAAATAAACGTTTAATTTATATTATCTCAAGATACGCAATTTGTTAAAATTCAAGAAAATAAAATTTTGAAGCAGTTATGAATATGAATATAGATTTATTATAAAACATTTAAAATTGGTATAAAATTTATTTAATTATCTTAACTAACAGTAATTACCAAATCAAAGCAGAATTAAAATAAACTCAAATAAAGCTGGTTTAACGTGATAATTTAGCGAATTTTTTTTTCTTTCAAGAAATGAAAAACTATCATGTAAAATTAGACTATGTAGGCTACTTGAATTTAATACATCAAATCTATTTGGTTTGAGTAAGTTATTCACAACTATATTTTCTTTTAAATAATGTCTACTATATATGTAAAATGTATAAAATAAAATGTTTTAAAAAAAACTAGTCTTAAGAATATTTGTTAAAATTGATAGTAGCGGTAGGTTTATCTATGGAGACTCATTTTCAAATGGACCAATCAAGAGCAGACGATAGAAATTACTTTTCAGCATTTAAAGTTACATAAGGTCATTTTGCCAGTTTCTGTAGTACTGTACGTTATTCGATTGAAAATTCTGTTGTAAGCGGGAAGAAAATCGATAATGCGAGGTCAATGAATTTTAACTCAATTGAACGTGTAATGGCTTTCACGAACTGAAATTCGTTTATTTGGTTTGCCTATTTCTACTTTACAAAACCATTAATGTTTTATTCAATTTTATTTTATATTAAAATAGTGTATGGATACATAATTACTTCAAAAGTTTAACAGTTCTTTATAATTACATAATTGAATTCAGCAATACCTTAATTTTTAATTTATTAAAACAATTTTTATAAAGTTTACTTTTGTAATGTTTAAAGATTGTCTGAAAGAACACATTTGGCCACCCTTTATCAGAATGTCTTGGCCCTGAAAAGGGCCGTTTTTTATAGTTATTATTGCAACTTAACCACCGAAACCGTATAATGTTCTTCCTTGACGTTTCAGAGCATAGACAACGTCCATAGCTGTAACGGTCTTCCTTTTAGCATGTTCGGTGTAGGTTACGGCATCACGGATGACGTTCTCCAAGAACACCTTCAATACACCTCTAGTTTCTTCGTAGATCAAACCAGAGATACGTTTTACACCACCACGACGAGCCAAACGACGAATGGCGGGTTTGGTGATACCTTGGATGTTATCGCGGAGAACTTTACGATGACGTTTAGCGCCTCCCTTTCCGAGACCTTTACCTCCTTTACCGCGTCCAGACATATTCACTTGTCAGTCGTTCGTCAACTAAACGGCAAACTTAGAAATGAGGAGAAAACGGACGTCGTTGTACTTATAGAATCGAGACGGACGTATTAGAAAGCTTCTAGCGGCGCCATTTCATTGGCGAGTGCAGTAACCAATCACAATGCATGAGGTTGGTTGCGGTCTTGTATCGATTTTTAAACGTGTATAATTGAAATTATTCTTTGTTCTTTTTGTTCAACAATTTTAGATTTAAATTATTTTAATTAATTAAGAACATATATTAACTAATAAAATGTTTATAAAACTTTTAAAGAAATTTTAATTTAACTACAAAAGACTATAAGTGTTTAATCTATACCGTACATTATTATATACTTAATTATATATCGTTTTTAAAATGTAATTTTAATCATTGAATATACATTTAAAGCTTATTGAATGATTCAAAAATAAAATGATACAATGTTTGCAAATTTGAGTTATTAATAATACTTTGTTTGCTTTTGTCACGCTAATGAAAGCTTTATTGATTTACAATATAATCTCGTGTTTTTCTGATTTCGTAGTATTTTCTCGTTTACAATTTAGATAAAGATTAGATAAGAAAAGAAAAGGAAGTTCCCTTAAGATATGGCGACTAGACCTCCAATTTTGCATGTTTTTAATACTTTATTGTAGAATCAATCTTTGAACACAGCAATTTTATTAAGATGTCGATATAACATCACTAATTTAGATTTTAAAAAAATAGTAAATTTTAAAAAATAACCAAAGTTCAATCAATTTTAGACCCATTTTCACTGATTCCGACAATATACAATAAACATTTTGTATAAGTAAAATATATTTATGGTGCGGATTTTTTACTCTTTTTAAAACAATTTTTTAAAAAGCTTTTAAAATATATTAAAACTTTAAAGGTTAAGACAATATATATAACCGTTGTTTTTTTTTAAATCTGTAACCGCATTTTATCAAAGAAAATAATACTAAGGTTTACAAAACATTAACATTTAGGTTTACAAAATATTAACATTTAGGTTTACAAAACATTAGCATTTAGGTTTACATAACATTAGCAATGAAACGTTAGCATTTACTACTATGCATTATCTGAAATGCATAGTAGTAAATGCTAACGTTTTGTAAACCTTATTAGTGTTGTTTTGTCTCTGATAAAATGCGATTATAGATTAAAAAACAACGGTTATACATATAGTCTTAATCTTTTAATGTATTTTAAGAGGTTTTTTAAAAAATACAATAAGCACTTTTATCAAAAAACTTACTAATACACCTTATCTTTATTAAGTACTTCTTAGCATTTATTACTATGCATTTCAAATAATGCATAGTAGTAAATGCTAACGTTTTGTAAACCTTATTAGTGTTGGTTCTGTCTCTGATAAAATGCGGTTATAGATTAAAAAACAACGGTTATACATATAGTCTTAACCTTTGAAGTTTTAATGTATTTTAAGAGGTTTTTTAAAAAATACAATAAGCACTTTTATA